TAACCCTGACCCTAACCCTAACCTTTATGTGAATCAGCTTGCTGTAATTTAATGTTTATTTCAATTTTTCGATCTTTTTCGTCGCGTTGTGATGACGTCACATATGCGATTTCGTCGACCGTGCTTTTGTGGAACGCGGTTTTGACGGGTCACGGTGTGATGGGATGAGAGGTGTGGCAGAGGTTGAAAGCTCACCCCTACTGGAAATGATATGCTAATATCCAATACATAATGGAAAAATGAAGAAGTTCCAAAAAACAGTACATGTTTGCATTATTGATTACAATACGGTTTTTCACTATGTAGTTCAAAACACTTTGCAGCAAGCCCTGTAATGGGTTACTTCATCTGCCAATGGAGCAATTTGTATACTGACCAGCAAGCAACAATTAGAATGTTTCAGAATTGAGAAGAATTTGAAAGAGGCTTGTTTAACTAATATACAGAAGATATCATGAGAAATGAGGAGAAATAGAAATATGAATTAAAAGTTTTGGAAGTAACATTAACACATCCGGTATCAACTGATGAAACTGCCTTGTTGGCGGGAAATGAAGATGATTTAAGATGCCTCTTACGGAAATGAAAGAAGAGAGTACAAAAACCAGTCTACTGATCAATATTAAAATAACTGATTAAATATTATGTTAACAAGCAAGGATAAGGTAGTGGGAATAGGTGGAGAAAGAGTTGAAGTGCTCAAAAATTCGCAGAGAAGATGACTGTAGTTATGAAATAAAGAGCTTTTGGAAGAAAGGCTATGACAAATCTAATAAAAATATTAACGCACTGAGACAACACAGTGAAATGAAGGAAAATGCCAAGAGCCTGCTTTTCCCGGTTATAAAAGCTGAAAAACCCAGTTGATCAAAAAGCCTGAATGAAATAAAAATAACTTGCTTTTGAATTACTGTGCTGGAGAAAAAGGTTTCGGGTATTATTTTTGCAAGATAAAAATAACCAATAGAACCAGGCTCCTCACTGGAAGTTCCCAAATTGTAATGAAACCAAAGCTTAAATATTGCAGACCAGTGTTGGGATTCAGCCAGTTTGCACCACTTCGGGGGGGACTGGTTAACTTTCTGAGTAATTTGGTGAACTGGTTGTTGGAATAAATCATTATGGCAGAGAACCGGTTGTTAAATTATTTGAATCCCACCACTGTTGCAGACGCATAACATTCAAACAAACGAAATGATGGGGGAAAAGGAAGGCAATTAAAAGAGAGAGAGAACGAACCAAGGGCTACATATTATTGTTGATGGCCCAAGCACACGAGCTTATAAAATTTCAAAGAACAATAACCAAAAAAATCATGTTGAAATGTTGATCATTCCAACAAAAAATCAGAAATTATGAACAACTTCATTAAAATATCAATATAGTTTTCACAGTCACTACACAAAAGTGGTGGGATAATGCCCTCTCCTTGAGATTTGTGTGTTACTTCCCAATGTAGCCTCAAAGCCAGAAAATTATTTCCCAGGGCTGACCCACATTAGTTTTCCAATATCCGCCAAAGTATGGCAGGTGTTGGCACCTACGTGTGTGTGTGTGTGTGTGTATGTGTGTATGTATGTGTATGTATGTATGTATGTATGTGTGTATGTGTATGTATATATATAT